TGAAAATCACGAAACGTCTCATTGGCGCCCAACGTGGGGCAGGCGATCAGGAAAAGACATCAAGAGGATTAAAAGCGAAACATCATCACCAAGATGTCAACCACCGAGGGATCAACCTCAACCAGCGAGGGATCAGCTTCAACGACATCAGTGATGGCAAGCATCGCATCAACTCTCACATCAGCGATCTCAACGATCAACACGACGGCATCATCCTTGCTCGAATCCGTCAGTACGGTAGCATGGACCACGTCCGACAACACGACATGCACTAACACACACACGGCAACGAAACCAACCAGTAGGATAGAACAAACTACCATGGAGACTTCTCAGAGCATCGTGGAAGAAACGAACTGCTCTACAAGCTCACCAATGGAATCATACACCATCGACTCTCACGGGTTATGGAATAGACGGATATCCAATAGTGGAGTCCCGATCCAACGAGAGATCGAGGATATACAAAACACAACAAGCAACGACAATCCAATCCTGGAAGCATTGGAACAAATTAAGGCATCAATAAGTCATCACATGACAATAACGAATGCCAGATTCTCGAGTCTGACAGCATCCATCGATGAGAAACTTACATGCCACAAACGACTCATCGAAGGCACAATGAGGAGCATGCTGGCAGCACACGAACTGCACTATCGGGAGGAGATGCAAGTCCTCAGGCACCAAATGGGAGACAGGACACCCACCCAGACGATCGGCAGACACCGAACTCAAGATCCCAGCCAAACTAGACGAGTGAGCTTTGCAAACCCAGAGACCCATACGGGAAGGAGATTCCAAGATACAACTCACGACATCTCTGGCATGGGTCAGCCAGCCCTTAGGAGCAGCAGCTTTGGCGGCACACAGCCAAGAGTGAGCGACTTTGGATTAAGCGATCAGGGCTCTAGGATAGGAAGATCGAGGACGTTGGACGCATCATGGGGAGCACCAAGGATGACTCTACCAACCTTTAATGGAGCAGCAACCTCAAGACCTATGAGATACCTACAAGAGCTCAAGCAATATTGCCTCACACTAGGACTGGAACAAGACATTAAACTCGTGATATCCCAAAGCATGACGGGATCCACCAAAGAATGGTGGCTACTAATAGAAGAAAAGATCTACGCATGGGAAGACTTCGAGAGAGAATTCAAAAGAAGGTTCTGGAACGAAGAGGAACAGTATCGAATCTCTGAAAAACTAGAATTCGGATCGTTCGATGAGAATAAGAAGGGAAGCCGAGTCGATTATGCAATTCGGATTATCAGCAACGCAAAGGATATAGAACCACCAATTCCGGAAGCACAGATAATCACGAAAATGGCTCGCCACTTCGACGAGAATATCCGATCGGCGATCTTGGCAAGAGGCATGAAAACCACAGATGAAATCCTGGACCTCTTACAGCGATTCGACAAGATCGGGCCGGTGAACTCGAGGAGGGATTATCAAAACCGATATCCCAAAACAGATCGAGAGAATCAGCAACGATATCCATCGAAGAATGAAGAAAAAACGGGAGCGAACTCACAAAGAAGGGACGACTCTGAGAGAATCAGCAACGATATCCATCGAAGAATGAAGAAAAAACGGGAGCAAACTCACAAAGAAGGGACGACTCCCGCCAAGAAAAGCCTCAGCAGGGACAACCAAGGGCGCAAACAAGCGGATACAGCGCACCGAGGAATCAACAAAACCGACAATTTTCCCAGCAGCAAAACGTGAGGAAGATCCAAGGAAAAACATCTCAGGACACCACACAGCCGGGAAACGCAGAAGAGTTGTGCCCCAGCACCGTCCTCCAAAACCAAGGGACACAACTAGAATACGAGCAATAGGGGAGGACACGCGCAAAAGTCTACTATCTGAGGATCCCCAGAAGAGGGAGATAATAAGGAAATGTCCGATTGCAAAAATCCTCATAGAAAACACACCAGTTTCAGCACTGATCGATACAGGCAGTGAGATAACATGCGTATCAGAAGAATTCTATCTTACAAACAAAGAGACACTCAAAAGGGCACCATCTTTACCCGTTGTTGGGGTCTCAATAAGAGAAGCAACGGCTGGGAGGGCTGTGAAAATCCAACAGCAAATATTCGTTACGATTAAAATCGGCCCATATCAGGCCAATACAGTGGTACTAGTAGTACCACGACTCCTCAATAAGGGAAGCAACGGCTGGAAGGGCTGTGAAAATCCAAGAGCAAATATTCGCAACGATCAAAATAGGCCCATATCAGGCCAACACAGTGGTATTAGTAGTACCACGACTTTCCAACAAGTGTATCCTAGGAATAGACTTTCTCAGGAAAGCCAGAACACACTTTAATCTGGAAACGTATTGCATAACTCTCAAGGAGCAAGATGGTCAAAGTCATCAAATGAAGTTGAACCACGAAGAAGATGAAGAAGGACAAGAAGAAGATCACCAAGCGAGTGTGAACTGCAACAAAATAGAAGAGGAGGAAAACAAATCCACAGAAAGCGGAATATCCGAAGCAGAGGTAGAAGACAAACTCTCCGAATGTTCATGGGCCTCAGACACACAGAGACAAGCCTTTAAGGGTCTCATATTAGCGAACAAAGAGGTATTCGATAAAAGGCCTGGCAGGCTGAGATCCTACCAGCATCGCCTACAAACTATCGAGCATGAACCCTTCACAACCAAAACTTATCCAGTGCCGATGGCCTACCGAGAAAAAGTAGACGCTGAGATAGAAAAAATGCTCAAAAATGGCATCATCCAGCGATCCACAAGTCCGTACGTCAATCCCCTGGTGACAGTAGTGAAGAAAGACGGAAGTATTCGACTTTGCCTGGATGCAAGAAGACTGAATAGCATCTTAGTGGAAGACCACGAATGCATGCAGCCAACGGAAGTACTATTCCAGCAATGTGGAGGCGCAAAACTAATGTCCTCACTCGACTTAACCAGCAGTTTCTGGCAAGTGCCACTGCACCCAGATTCATGCCAGTATACGGCATTCACCCACAGAGGTAGATGCTACGAATTCACAGTAACGCCCTTCGGACTCAAAACAAGCACAGCTAGCTTGGTCCGAGGATTGGAACCAGTTCTCAGAGGAATCGGCGATCACATTATTAATTTCGTCGACGACATCCTCTGTATTTCATCATCCTTCGAGGAGCACCTAAAACACTTGGAGGAATTGTTTAGGAGACTGCAGGAACACGGACTAACTCTCAAATTCAAGAAATCAAACTTTATGAGAGAAAAGGTCACCTTCCTGGGTCACATCCTAACTCCGCAAGGGATAGCAAAGGATCCAGAAAAAACAAAGGCAATCCAAGAATATCCAACGCCGAAGAACTTAAAACAACTAAGAGGATTTCTAGGCCTCATAAATTTTTACTCAAAATTTACCAAGAGACATGCAGAAACAGTAGTACCGCTCTTGGATTTACTTAAAGGAAAAAGCAAGTGGTCCTGGACGGAAAAACAGCAAGAAGCATTCGAAGAAACGAAAATCGCATTCTGCAATGACGTACTCCTGCACTACCCAGACCAAAAGAAGCCATACTGTCTCCAGACGGACGCAAGCGACTACGCACTAGGAGCAGTATTGTTCCAGAAGAATGAAAATGGAGAAGATGAAGTAGTATGCTTTGCCAGCCGCACCCTAAAAGGAGCCGAAATTGGATATTACACCACGGAGAAGGAACTTCTGGCCATAGTATGGGCACTGCAGAAATTCCGTACTTACCTCTTGGGAGCAAAGATCTTCATAATCACGGATCACTTAGCGCTAACATTCCTGAAGAACTGTCGATTAGTCAGCGCTAGACTCACCAGATGGATCCTAGCTATTCAGGACTACGACATCGAGATCAAACACTGCCCAGGCAAACTGAACACAGTGGCAGATGCCCTCAGCAGACCGAGGCAAGAAGAACGAAGAAAAAGCAAGAAAGAAATCCAAATCAATAAATTAGCTAGACAGCTATCAGAGAACTTTGAGGAAATAATGGAGAATCTTGCAGAGCATCAGAAAAAGGATGCAAAGATCCAACAGATTCAAGCAACGCTAGAAAAAGAAGACTCTGGGGAAGAACCCTACAAAATAATAAACGATATCGTCTTCAAGAATCAAGATCAAACATGGAAAGCCATGATACCGGAACAAAAGGTAGAAGAAATCATCAAAGAATGCCACGAGGTATATGGACACATAGGAGCAAAGAAGTGCTACCACATACTTAAGGAAGACTTCTACTATCCGAAATTCCACAAAGTGATAAGACAGAAACTGGCAGCCTGTGATTCATGCCAGCGAAATAAGGTCTACACAACAGGATCATTCGCAGAAATGCACAACATAATACCAACGGAACCAAATGATCTACTCTGCGTAGACTTTTATGGACCACTACCAACTGGCAAAGGAGGATCAAAGTATATCCTAACCACCATCGACGCCTTCACCAAGTTCGTCATCCTGTACCCATTAAAGAAGGCGACAGCAGAGACAACCATCAGGTGCATCTTCAATGATTACATTCCTAAATATGGCAGACCTAGGAGGATCCTATCAGACCAAGGCACGCAATTCACATCACAAAGATGGATAGATAAACTGAAACAGGAAGGAATACAAAGAATATTCACTTCTATTCGACATCCCCAAGCGAACCCTGTAGAAAGAATCAATCGAGAAATATCACGATTCTTGCGCACATTCCTGGGAGAAACGCATGCTACATGGACCAACTGGCTAACAGTCATCGAATCCTGCATGAATGAAGTTCACCATGAGTCTACGAAATGTACACCAATGGAACTACATCTACGGAAAAAACCGGAAAGAAAATGGCAAGGATGGTTCAACATTCGTCCTCCGCCACCGGACCAGCCTTACGAAATACAGCTGAAACTCGCAAGAGAAGAGATGACGAAACAAGGCAAAACACGGGCCAGAAGGTTCAACGAAAAACACAAACTTATTAAATACAAGGTAGGAGACACTGTTCTAGCTAGAGCATGCAACGTCTCCAAACCCTTGGAAAAGAAAATCGCCAAGTTCATGTCACTCTACGAGGGCCCCTATATCATTCAAAGCAAAGCAGGTCCAGTATCATACATCCTGGAGCACCCCACCACCAAAGAGGTGAGGGGGGTATATCACACCCAAGATTTGAGGCCTTATCAAAGGGAAGGGGAAGCAAAACCACCCCACCAAACTGAGCCCAAATCCGTATAAAAGGAGCACAGAAAGCACTGAAGAGCTCATTTCAGAAGCATCAAGCCATGGAGCAAGTCAAAGCAAGAAGCACGGAAGACATCGATGACTTCGGCTGCAAAGCCAAGATCGTACGGTTCCTGAGCCCGCGATTATTCTACGTAGTGCTCGAAAAACACTGGCCACTATATGGCCACATCAACGCTCTGCTGAAAGGTTGTAACGAACAACCTACCGCATGGGAAAGAGGTGCCCACTGCGCAATAAAATATCTAGGATACCTGTACAGGGGTATCATACAAGATCTCGAAGAAGCGACAGCCAAAATCGGTCTCATGGATCACGGGAACGTAATTAAGGTCCCGGTGGAATGCCTACACCTTCTAACGGAGGAGGCAGCATCAATCCCGGCGCTAATTATAAAATGCGGTATGGATCGCATCAGCCCACGAACTACTCCGGGTTGGAGTCAGGAAGCATTACAGTGGACAGAACAACAAATACGCGAGCATCAGGAAGTAACACTAGGAGCGACGCGTCATCTTCCCGAAATTCGGTTCTGTTGGGTGACACTCCGCCTTGGTACGAGCAAGAATGAACCCCTCAACCATCAGTTGGTAAAGAAAGGATTTGCTCGTTTCTCCTATACCGATCGGGGATCTGATCAAGCAGACGAGGGATATGAGTCGGAAGGCACCGAGAACCAGCGGGCGAATAATTAAACATTGGCACATCGGACTAGGCTGAGACAAAAACAAACACCAGCGAGCGATGAAGAGGATATTAACTGTCAAACACCTAGGGAATCAACAAACAAAGGATTAAAATTCAAAGACCTAGAAGTAACACCTCAAACGGTTGCAAAAACGTATACCTGAGAGGTATATAAACTGCGCTGACAATGAGCAAATTCTCAGTACTCTAAAGATGGATTGCGCTACACAAACCGAAGCTTTGGAGAACACCAGAACCGTGGCAACGCAGACGGGTGGACCCGTGTGTGTTGAAGAAAACTCAACGAAGGGAGTAATAAAGGTACGGAGGAACGCCTGGACTCCACGAAATGGCAAGGGTCGACGAGGAAGAGCGAGCCAGACAGAACTGGCGAAAAGAAGTTGGCAGCAAATGACGGACCAAGTAATGATTCCACTAGAAATTCCGATCATAACTCTCGACACTGAGTCACCACCAAAATCCCTCGACGAGGAGATTGAGGCAACGTTGCGGGTGCTCAAGAAGCCAAGGGTAATTAGAGAGGAGATACTCCTGGACGGTCCCCGCTTCACCCTGCAAAAGCCAAAACCAGAAGGGAGAAGAGCTGCTAAGCCAGCCTCCAATATAATGGCAGTAGAAGACCCGACAGTGAGGCGCCACTCGCGCACCAAGGTGACAACGGGAACACGAACAGTGGCGGCAAGAAGGGCGCTAGAGAAGGAAGAGGAGAAAAAAAAGCGACAAGAAAGGGCCCATGAAGAGGCAGTATGGACCTTCATGGACCAGACTTACAGAGACTTCGATCCTTTCGTAGTGCCATGGCCGCCGGGCCTGTAAATCATAGGAAACAATCGTCCCTCTCCACAACGGTCCAATTGTTTGGGAGGGCGATGTAACGTTCCGACCTTATACCCCCCTATCCTTTATCCTTTTTCCTTCCCAATCATCATTCTCGATGATGGATACGTCAAGAGCCCCACATAAGAGTGCATAGCGCACTGTGGATGTGCATAACAGTATCTGAGAGAACTCCTCAAATCCTAGAATTCCTCAATAATCCTATCGACCTCTCACAGCGACGCCGATAAAGGAAAGAGAATATAGGACCTCTAATTCTCTAATATTGCATAATTCCCTTGAATCTAGTCACAGCGACAGTCATGAGGATATAATATTAGAAACTATTACTTTTAATATTCCTAGAATCCGAAA